CAATGTTTCAATCGTGTGTGCATTTTCCAGTCGTTAATATCGATAGTTCCTAAGCCACCTATAACCAATTCTAATTCCCTCTCGTCAAATGGTCTCAACAGTTGTGGTGGAATTAGTTCGTGAAATCCCTTTTGTAATGCCAGAAACTGTTGCTCGATTCCTCGCATGAAACGATAGTTTACATATAACCGGACATATTCCTTTTTATTTTCTTCAGTTACAGGAATGTCTTTACCGCCTGGTTTTAGTTCGTGGTTTTTCAATACACCGAAACTACTATGTTCTACTGAAAATGTAGCATCCAGCACTCCGTCGATACTGTTTTCTCTGTTATTAAAATAAAAATATTTTTGCAATATGTTTTATGAAAATTTTATTTATTCGATATTTTTGTTTACTTACAGCATCCATGTAAGACTCCTGTGTAGTTCTGGATCGACCCCTTCTATATCGGTGAGAGTTATAGCTTTGTTAAGCAACATTTTGTAAAACGGAGTTGTGAAACCGCCATCTATATGATGACCATGAAAAACGGCAATTCCTATTATCCTGCCAGCAAAATGGAAGTACGATAAATGTTCTGGGTTTATTCCTGAATCTGGGTTGATTTGAAGTGTATAATTGTCATCTCTTGAATATTGAAATAATCCATATTGTGGATTTAACATTTCGTGTGATAGTAAATACAACCACTCTCGCGCTACTCCACCATAGTCAAGACCTTCCTCACCACGGAATTTTACCATAAGTCTTTTGCGCATGTCTTTTGGTCGCATTTTCATTATCAATCTGTATGACTCCTGAACAAGTAATTATATATTTATAAAATTTGTGTTAAAATAATCATTACTGTACTTAAACACTCACTTCAAATATTTCATTTCTCGACACTTCAAGTCTACAATGTCCACTTTGAGGCTGAAGAGCGTTCAATTCTGCTCTCAAACACTTTAACTTTGCTACTAAATCTCGTTTATATTTTGGCAAAAGTTCATTATCCATTAGTTCCTTTGGCAATTCAGATACAGTCTGTGCATTCTGGGTCGATGGTGTACTTTCCACTAGATTATAAAAATATATGAAACACAAAGGAAGCTATTATCTTTACTGAAGAACATACTAAAAAGATACTTGTCGGAAATATCGTATTGAATAGATTCACTTAATTATGATTCAGTCAACATTGATAATACTGGTATACTTTGAAATATTACTTAGACTTACACGTCGGCGAATTATTATTACTTCCACTTTCTGTCCTTGGCCTTTGTTGAACCATATTGCTTTGAATGCTTGGTGATGCAGGCGTCTCTGCTTCTGACGTTTCACTTGTAGCTGGAGCTGAATTACTTGAATTACTTGTTTGATTAGTTGTACTATTATTTTGTCGCCTACTGTTATTAACAAAAATAATTTTATAATTCAAAAGGAACGAAACATTTAGGAATAAATTTGAATATTTTTATTTATTATTAACTTACTTTAGTAAATTGCTTATAATTTGACTGGACAATCTGGGATCAGTAAATTGTGTAGTTCTGTTATTGTGATCCACAAAATAAACACGACCGCTTTGCGTTTGTCGCATTTCCCAGCCACTAGGTAATGGTCCAAGTTCATTTGCCAATTCGTTTGCTGGTAAATCTCGAGGTATTCTAGGATCGTGCCATGTAGACGTACCAGTTGGTACATGATAAAAATATACTTGTCCTTGTTGCGTTTTCCTCATTTCTATAAAGTATAAATTTACCATGTATCATTAATCGATTAGCGAGGTAGCTTTTGTAACTTAAATATTAATCAATATTTCAAACGTAATGTGCTTGTAAAATTGACTAAAAAAGTATCTTTTTTTTATACATATTATTCTGAGATTAATAATTTAATTCGTACCATAGCCTCTAGGTAAATCTGGTGGTTGCGGAGGATCATATCTCCTCTCATTATTCGGTATTACACTGTTTCTATTTCTATTACTTCGATTAGGCCTACGTGGTTGACCACTATTGATGCTACGATCTGGTCTAACATTTCCACTTTGATTACCATTCTGTTCATCGGTTACTCTAACAGAACGCCGCTCTCTAATCGACGCTGGTGTCATGTTTCTTGTATTATGTTGATTCTGTTGATTTCTATTTTGTTGTTGAGTAGGTGTATTTCTCGGTGTATTTGAAGCAGAACTATCTCTGCTAGGCGTCCTACTAGGCGTTCCTTCTCCGTTCCATTCAGGTGTATATCTTGTAGGACTTTCTGTTGTTAAATTGGGAGGACTCCCACTGCCACTGGGAGAAGTAGATTCGGAAAAAGGAAGCGGCGGTGGCTCAGGCGTAGTTGGTATAATACCATTGCTAGGCCTATTATAAAAATAAAACTATAAGTAAATTTTATGTTAGGAGTTTACAATTTTTCTGTAAACAAAATTTACCGAGCATTCGGACGAATCCACTGCGTAGTTCTCGTATAATGATTAACATAGTAAAGTCGTCCACTCTGAGTTCTTCTCTCTTCCCATCCATCTGGTAAATCTGTTGGACAACTAAGATCTCCAAGGACATCTACTACAGCATTGTGACCAACTGTATTACTCACAGCACCGTTATGACCATCCCGTGATAACAGAGATATAACAATTTGTCCTTTAACCACATCTGTGTCATCTGAATGTGCTTTGCAAAGATCTAATCGTTGATCTACAAAATATACGAGTTTGATAATTATACATTTTGAAAGTAATTACATTTTGTCCATCTCTGTTCAGTACTTTGCATTGCAACATGAAACAATACTTACATCCTGTATCCTTGAGTCTTTGAATTGTAATGGATAATATTCGTACACATCCCAGAAATCCTGCACCTTTCTTTTTATGAATTTTTTTATGATTCCACACTGATATTGTAATGCCATCATTCTTTCCAATGTATCTGTAAAAATAATTAAGAATCAACATATTTTTCTTATGTATAGAAATGTACTCCTACTTCTAATTATGAAATAATTACAAATCATAATGCTGATTCCATTTAGGATCTAGTGTTGCCTTGCATGTATCCGTACTATGACACTGGCCTGAGCCATCAACTGTGATTTTAGCAAAAGGATCCGGTAGCCCTAAAATAAATCTTATGTGGTTAACCAGTTTTCTACAGATTTTGTCTCATCTTCAAACAAAAGATACTCACGAAACAGATCTTTTCTCGCAAGATTACGGGCACATAAAACTGCAAAATTTATACAATGAAATTTATATAAAAAAATAATTGCTAATGATTTTAAAAGCAAGCAAATTAAATTAATTTTTGTTTATTCATATAATGAAATTACAAGCTTAATCTTTATCAGTATACTTTTACAGTGCATATAACAATCATAAAGAAAGTGATGTAACAAATAAATAAGTAGCTTAGAAGCAAAATAATTTCATAAATATGCAGTAGACTCCCACTTATCCGGTTCTCTTTTTTTTATACAAAACTACCTCATCTAAGCAAGCGTTCCATAACCCACTGATATTCAATAAATATTATCTGTTTACAGGCCATCCATTCACCCAGTTGAGAGGGAGTCTACTATAATTCTTTAAAAGCCTACAAATATCACAACTACACATAAACGTCAATTTTAAAAAATTCCTTTTTCCTGTCATTCATTGCCTTCACCGGTGATTTTTGTCTTCGTAGAGGATGACATTAAATAATAATCCTCGTTGTAACCGGTTTAGATAAGAAAACGGGGTGATTTTTTTTATTGTGATTCTCGTGTACAATGGAGTGTCGCGAACTTTTCTAAATACGACTTAGTTTGGGGTTTGAAAAGTAGCGAAATATTAACAACGCATGTTCGAAGGAAACAATTTAGGCTCGCGCATCGGTACTAGGCGTCTGACATTTGTTAATTGGGCCTATTCACATTCGATTTGATCTCGGCTACGATCCTCATTGAATCAATCAACACCGAATAATTTTAAACTGAAAAATGCTTCCAACGATCGTAACCCTCCGTGAAGTGTTAAATGTTAAAGGAGAGGCGATGCGGGCGTGACAAGTTCACAAAAATTCACGTCGTTCGGTCTACGGTCTCCCGGAGTGCTCACGGTGGGGTCTTGACCTCCGATAGGGAGTTGCCATAACCAAAGGACGAAAACCCTAGTGAAACCATTTTTGCGTATCTTCTTCGTGTTAGACAGAACGAATGGTAGCCGATATCCGCAAAGGTTGAACTGACGTTTCACGGGGTACAAGCCTCCATAAGGTTTACGACGGTGCCATATTAACGAACACACAACAAATACAAGACACGGAAAGAATCTGCAACGCGTGTTGGCTATCGGCCGACTTTTCCTCTCACGGGTAGAACTCGTTTGTTATTTCCTGATAAACTCACTCGTCAAACGAATCTTCATGGCCCCGTTCCTCCTACTACCGCCCGGATTCGACATTTTCACGCACATTTAACGCTTCCTACTGCACATCGACACTCTAATTAGTAAATAAAGCTGCTGCTCGAAGCGGCGGTGCAATCCGCACACACGCAACCATGCACGATCGACTGTTGCAGCTGATCGACCTTACCGACTGTATCGACTCGAGTCGTTTCTTGCGCGGTCTCGAAACTCGCGAGATATCGAAGCCATTGCGCGGCACGTCGGACGTTTGTGAGGTTGTAACTTCTCTACAATTTTACAGTTAATTTTAAGTTTTACGGTGAAATTCTAGTGTGATTCGTGAAGACACCGATTATAATTATTATTGGGAGAAGATAAGAGTCTACTTCGAAGGTAAAATGCATGTTTTATATGATATTGTATAGACTAGTAGACACGTTTGAATCAATTTGATCGACAAGTATCGAAGAACCTTACATATCGTATTCAGTGGTGATCAAATATCAGCGTTCGCTTGTATTTTCTTTTTCTTGACAATTAAATTTATTCAGTATGTACGTAAAATATTATAATTTTTCTAATCAAATTTCGTCGGAAATGTAATAAAACTTCATTTAAAAAACTAAAGAGAACGATTTATTTTGCGTAACTGTATGCAGGTACATATATTGCACGATAACATTTACAATATTCTGTTATAAAATATTCGAGGCAATTATAAAAATCTAAAGGGAATAGATGATTACATTTATTATATATTTATCTTTCGAACTTAAAATACTGAGAAATGTATAAATTAACAAATAAATCGCGATAAACGTGAGAAGCGAGTTACGATATGACACGATAGACAAAAAAAAAGAAATGTTAGTTCTTCGCGAAAACCGTTGTTTCGTCTTTATGCAGTGTACGAGTAGAGCGCGATCGTTGCTTAATTTATGTGCACTAATAACGATTATAACTTTCACTGGCCTTACGTTAGAGGGGAACTATCGCACATTCCAGAAAAACATTTCGATACAGTTTCTATATTACGCTCTTGAAAAGCTGTAAATACTATTTGTACTTTCTCGTCCAATATTTACTCGAAAAAATATTTCAGGAAAGATATTCTTTGGAAAAAAGGTACTCGTACGTTTGCGATTCTGAAAACTCTAAACTATTCGTATCCGACACAATTCCCAAGATATACTAGAGCAATAAATAGTTGTACATTGATTATTATACAATATTAATTATCAATTTAATAAAATCTGTGGTTCTGGTCACTATATTAAAATTAGTTCGTTTATAAATAATTATGAAACGAATTAAAGCATGTTCATCTATTTAATTTCGTATCCAAACTTCAAAACGGTTTTTGTTTATGACGATGAATCTGATAAAATTATTAAAAAATTCCTCTTAACTCCTCTTTGGCAGTATATATTTATATTTACTTTTTTTTTTAATTAAACGTCCGCCAGCTTGTTATCGCGGAATGTGATTGCACTGATTGAGAACGAATAACGTTTGTGCGGTTCGTGGTATATTACTTAAAAATAATGTTTTTTTATTTTTAGGCCTCCCCTCGGAACGTGAGAAACGCGTCCACGAGGAATATTGCCCCCTCGATTATGCTGATGGATCCTTTAGCGAGTCCTGTGTCGCGGAACGAGCTCCTGTACATGTTCTGGAAGAGTTCGATGTTCAAAGCGCCAGCAACGATGAACAGGGCGCAGCCAATCAGAGCGAAAAAGAGATCCTGCGAAAATGAAATTTTCGTGAGTTATCTTCTAATTACACTAGATAAAACACATTATTGGCAGATTCGAAATAGATCTGATTTGAATTAAGAAAGAATTTTCGTTCAAGTAGCCTTATTTGAAACCTTATGTAACAGAATAGTGCCCCTTCGCGCGCGTGAGGTTGCAGCTACCGCGCACGGAGGGTTGCCTATCGCTAGGGGTACCAATTTAGAATTAGCAGAACGTAAAGGTCGATTCGGATTATACGACACGAACCGTCACGTTCCTGCAACGACACGACAAAACATTAAAACACGCGTTTTAATGGAACTATTCACACTATTCCCGTTGACGGAACGTTCAGGTCGGTGTCTGTTAAGTGTGAATAGTTCCATTGAAACGCGTGTTTTAATGTTTTGTCGCGTCGTTGCCGGTCCGTGTCGTATAGTCTGAATCGACCTTAACTCTGGTTGGTCTGGAAACGTTTAGGTGTTATTACATACATAATAAACAATATTCTTGCTAATCATTCTCAATTTTTTAACACTTATGCTTTACACTTTAATTGAGATAGCGATCATGTCGAATCTAATATATGAAAGAGAACGTGGTATATAGCGAACACACTTAATTTGATGTCTGATTCGCTCGATACGTACCACGCGACGATTAACTGGCGTTCCCATTAGGCTACCAGCGAATAATCCCACGAGAATAATTAGATAACCGCCAAAGGTACCCATCGTGATCATTGCAGTGTGCACAACTCCAGCTTTGAAGGAATGGTAATGCAGTCCTATGAGGACGCATACTATTAGCTGAAATTAGTTATAAAAAATATTTATTAGATACAAACGTGTAATTTTGCTGCCACGCAGCGTTATTAGAAACTTTGTCTAATAGTGCCCCTTCGCGCGCGTGAGGTTGCAACTGGGGTGTACGGAGGGTTGCCTATCGCTAGGCGATCCAAATTAGAATTAGCAGAAGAGAATTTTTTAAATGAAGTAAATTACAATCTCGTTTCTTATAATAACTAAAACCCGCCTAATCGAACGATTTGATCACTCAAAGGAAAATTGAACATTTCATTTACGAATGACTAATAAACTTTTATTCCAAGAACATAACTGGATGAGTAAATGCTCCAGTCCCTGCTTAGGCGATAACGCTATCTTTGACACACGCGCATGCTTGATGTATCTGAATATATTAATCGGAGAGACAAATTATTGTATGCCTGACTCATCCGCATCTGTGATACTCTATCATAAAACTTAAAGAATCAGAATCACTGCAAAACATGCTATCAAAATGATAAATTTAATCGAAAGTGAGTAAACGTGCACCGTTATCGATAGACAACTTCTCCGAACAGCCATGTATTCTTTTTAATAACATTTAATTACTCGACACAGTACTCGTCAAATAGGGTACACACTATTTTGCAATTCTCCAAGAATATATCATTTCGAGTCGGTTTACGTGTGACTTGTTGCTCGCAATTAACGTTACAAAATTGTTGAAGCATAAAAATAGTGGTTTCCCTAAATAGGAATGCTAGCAGCGCGAAACTGGGCCGTCGGAACAAGTACAGCGACTCCATCGATGTAACCATAAATAACGCATTAACATTCACCTATTGCGTTCCAGTTACGAACTTCAATCTATTTCGAGGAAATGGTTAGGAAGTTTTGACTACGAATCCAGTCCATTCCTCGACGTATCGATCATACAGACACCAGTTATGGGCAGAAAGTATTCTTCCATCATTTTTAATGTTATTAACATTCATAACACGTTAAGAGCACGAGCCAGCGCTCTCTTCGCCACGATACGCGCGGCATTGTTAATTAATTGTCTACTAACGTTACGTTACGTCAAGCTACCAAGTTTGTTATCTGATTTATAGTGCATTCCTCGGGGGAACAATAGTTTGTCTGATTGAGTGACCATCACTTGATCACATTATGACAAACGTTGCAATAAAAAATGTTATTGTGAACACACGGTTCAAATTTCAAGCCAATGGGATACCTAGTTTCCGAGAATAGTTATCCACCGGTATGAAAAAACCGGTTTCGAGAGAAACGCGTTTAAAGTTTAGGGTGGACTAGCTGGAGCGTCACGGCACGCTCAACAAAAAAAAGTTATACCTTTCGTGATATTGCCTAGTTCCCTTATATTTTAGGACAGAAATTTTAAAATGCTACACTTTAAGAAAATGCAAGGTGGTATCGAACTTTTGGGAAACTGGAAACATGGCGTTCCTCCTAAACACGAATCGAAAGGAATGTATACTTTTCTCAGAAACTTAAGAAACTTTTCTTTTGTTACAAGTCTTTGAATATTGATGAGCATGGATCATTTCTGAAGAATTCTTAGTCTAAATATTCTAACTCATTGGCACAAACGTGTGTATGCCTCAGGCAATTATCACTAAGCGCAGTTCTCAGGTTCTGCAAGATGTACACACTGATTTTCCAATTTTTGTAAGTGCAAAATTACAAATATATTTAAAATTCAGCAATATTTGCTTGCTGTTGATAAGTACGCAGAAGATACACCTGCCTTTCCGTTATTGCATACTATTAATAATAATTATCAAAGTCAGATAAAGAATACTCAAAGTAAATCCTATTCTCATAAATATTAATAATCTTAATTTTGAAATCAAATATTAGCACAACGAAGATAAAAGAAGCAAATTGTTTGAAGTCATCGCTGAAAATAGGAGGACTAAAGAATGGTCGATTTTCAAGATCACAATGGATTGTGCGCGTGTCTATAGAATCCTAACTTGGATAGTGATTGTCTTCCTGTCTGAGGTGCGACCCTAACAAGAAGAGAATCTCTCACGTAGCAATCACCAGCTATTATGTCATTTTCCATTCTGGTAGACTAGCTGGTGAAGGCGTTCGTGTTCAGTTTACCCACTTTGTTCATCAGATTTCGACGTTTGGTGCTGATTTATCTCACTCTCCAGAGGAGCGTGACATGGACACCAACAAACAGAGTAAAATTATTCTTGGCTCGATCCGAGAAAATTGTCAACAAGATTGAATTGAAAATTGAACAACTTGAGTCGTTACGACTTTGAATTTTATGAGACTAACGACTATCGAATGTTAATTCTTGTTAATTATTTAATATTGACGACTGAGTATTTATAGAACGATAAAACGCTTAATATTGACTGCACAATAACGTAAATATAATGGTAATTTTGGCAGTTGTTGTACTACTTACCAGTTCTAAGAACTTGATGATAGAGAGTCTCGTGAGAGAAGCCATTTTCGTTTATCTGTAAAACAAAAAAGAGTAATAAATATCGCAGTTAAATTTAAATAAAAGCATAAAGATCCATTTATTTTTTAAGAAATTAGCCTTAGAAAAATAGTCATTTAAATTTGTCACTTAATATTTGAATATCGAGAAAACACGATCAGAAAGAAATATCAAAAATAGTTTCCGCGAAGTATCAACATCTGACGATCATATAGTTCAATACTTTCAAATTCTCTACACGTTTTTACCATAATACAAATTTAAATATTCCAGTCTAAATTCCAATCGTTTATCGAGTAACTCGCATTACTCGTATCTGTCTATTTTAGAAACACTTTCGTCCCAGCGTGTTTGTCTTACTTTCGCTGCTATGTTTCCAGTGCAAACAGCGGACGATTACTCACGGCGCTAGTTTGATTCATTTTATTTATATGAATCAAATTGCAAACAATGCATAATGTGACTGGTAAGAGACTTGACGCAATCTGCGCGCGGTTCTTTTAATAGACGTGTGCGATCATCGACGAGATCAACATTATTTACGAATCTATAAAATAATAACTCAGAAATTCTTGATCAGAAAATTATTACAGAAAATTCAACAACATTTCTAAGCATACAAATTATTTAAATACCCGTGAATCGTTCAGAGTGATACTTATTTTGGTTTTATAATTCAGATCGCAACTTGTATTTATTCGTTATTCGACATTTTGTATCTGAATAAAAATTCTCAATCAAACGGTGACCTCGCGATGCAATAAGACCTGACGCATGCACCAATGCAAATAAACGTTTCTACAAATTATATACATTACTGATATTCGTAGACAAGCTGATGTGTGCGTATGAATTAAAAGAGTTTGGAGTCATCTTCTATAATACATCTCACAATTAAGCAGGTAATTTTTAGTAAAAAAGTATACTTTTTAAAAGCGTCTTTATTGAGATTTTGATGATTTTTTATATGTTTATGGTCGATTATTTGGTATGATGAAGAGGGCAGTCTTAGACAGATGAGATCATTAACAATAGTTACGCGTTCCATTTGGAACACAGCAAAACTTCGTCGTGGTGAATCCCAACGACAACAATAACCACTCACTGGCGCTATATTTAGATATTTATGAGATGACACAAGAATTGTAATATCTATGGTGACCGTAACCTAATTTTCACGTTTCAGATTATTCGTGGTCTCGTTCCCTCGTTCATCACCGCAAAACAATCATTTTATACAGAATAAAATATTGAACATTCAAATATTATAAACTACACACTACACTAACTAAACTACACTACACTATTACAAACTATAGAGAATTAAAAGTCGAGTTTTCGAATCATTACAAGAGTTATTCTAATGTCAAACAGATATGAATCTTTTAAATCAATTAAGTCATCACCATCGAAGGATTAGCGAACCATTTATTAATTTTTCCGTTCTGTAAAAGATCACCCTAAACAATGTATATTGCTTGCCAACTATTTGGAGCAAGTTAGAACAATACCTCCTAACGTTTCTTTCTGTTAGATTAATGCATTTCGTGGAAAATTTACACTGAAAATACTTGGTGTAGTTGGGTCAGTGGAGCGACCATCATTTGCGTTGGCCATGTGATGCCAAAAATGGGCAGAATGATTGGTAAATATAATTCCACCTGACTCGAATGCCATCATCGAACAGCAATGAACAACATTGCGCAAAAGAGTCGTCTTATCCAAAAGTTGATCGTAATTGTCAGAGCCAGGCATATATTTTAATATTATCAAATTTTGAAACAAAAGATAATCGATAACAGAGCATAAATTCTTAGATATGCAAAGCATACGTAGGAGAATATTTTCATAGTTTACGAAGGCAGGCACGAAACTTCACAGAAAGATCAGCTTACAAAACACTGTAGTGCTGTGTTCTCGACAACTCCCCCGTAATCTCCAAAAATAGAGAATGGAACGATACATGGCCAGACCATTCTACTGCTACATCGTCATGTTTGTTTACACGGTCGTCATTATAGAAAAATAGCAGAGAAAATTATGTAAAATAAGAAAAGAAAATTTGGCGCGACCATGTCACCTGCAAATTCAAGACTCGAAAGAAAGGTATACTTTCACGCGTGCAGTCATTGACCGTGCCGGAAAGCCTTGGCTCAGTTCTTAAAATTTCTCTCTACGTAACGTCTTTCTATTACTGTAATACTTCATCCTCGATTGTAAGAATGCAGTGAAATTTTTGTTTTCGATTCATTTTAAAATGTAATATGCGTTTTCGTATGAGTACAAGCATGATTTCTTTACACTGTAAATCTTATCTGTCTCGGTGCTTATTTCTTCGTACGCTTTAATCTCGTTGTATTACTCATGCAACACCGGTGATTAAATATGCAAATGTAAGTTGCAATGCTCTATGAATGAATTATACATATGTGTACATGTGCATCCTAAGTCACACTAATTAAGATAACTGCCAGTATAGTCATAGAATTTGCGCATGAATGGAGATCGTTCAGACTAGAAGCTTACTCATCCTACCTGTTTATTCATTCTCATCTTACAAGAATTTTAAGCTGCGTTATCACGCGATGGTCGAGAGCGAAATTGATGCTGTTTCGCTTGAAATACATTTAATTTATTGCGTGCTCATAAAGGTTAGCCAAACGAAAATTCTACTTTTTCACTTCCATTAACTTCCTTTACAATTTCTGTTTATTCTATCATTTTCCTATTTATATTTCCTTTCGATTGCAACATTTAATTAGAAGAAAGTATGAGAAGAATTCAGTCACTTTTCACGAAGGTTATCAAAGTTAACGACGCTCGATTAAGATAAAATCCTGACACGCAAGGTCCTCGTTGCAATCTAAAATACACACAACCAACGAAAAACACTGCTGGAGTCAATGCTTTAAAATCACAACGAAAATATTAAATAGCTAAACATATAATAAATTATACTTATTTATATCACTTTTCTCAATTTGCCAAGCAATACAAGTTTCTTATATTATTTTGACTGCTTGTCACAATGCTTACTTTTTGTAACCATCTTTCTTAATTATTTACCAAGATATTCAATTAACAAATAAACGTCATTATTATGAAATATATTAACAAATGTTCCAAGGACCGAACGTTACATTAGTACGTATCCTTATTCCATTTTCAGCGCCGGTTACGTTAAGTTCTAGTTTGTTTACATATATAATTTGAATACTTTGTGCAAGCGTTGTCAAATTAATATTGACCCACTTGTTTACCGAAGACCGACTTACATGATAAACTTGTTGGTTTCGTGACACTGCGCGTAGATGTTCACAAGACGATGGTTTAGCAACGACTGGTGCCGAAGACTGAACGCGTATTGTAAAGGAGTGACGCCGAGCTCCGATTTTTACGACTAACCGAAACAGAGCTACGTTTACGCATTCCCTTAAGGTGATTCCACACTTGCTGCTGTACAGCTAACCCCTCCCTTTGCACAATAGTCTTTTCACACGAGTGTTAATATAAGGGATCTCTAAAAATAAAAAGAAAAAGAAAAATTCTAAAAAAGTGCATTTCCTCTTTTTTTTGTACAAAAGAAACTTTTTTGTTGTGCTCTTTCCAATCGGAAATTTTGGGCATTGTATAATTAATTGAAGACAGAAAATCTGGATCTCAAAGAGTTGATTAATAAAATCAGGCGTTTGTAAGATAACGTTTCAAAATTAACATTTTTACGTCTCGAGACTCGTATCGACTTGACACAATTCCATTTGTAACAGTTGTATCGCAATTGAAATTTCTCTACATAACATTTCGAATTAAATTTATTATGATTCTAGTCTCGTGATTCATTAACTCGGCGCAGTTTGACTTTTAATACTTGTGTCGTAATTGAAAATTTCGTTACAGTTGTACGTTGTACAAGGCACGCTGAAAATATTATCGATTATGTTTGCGTGACTCACGCGTATTATTCGTTTCATTTTTGGCCGTCGCATATCTCGGATACCTATTCAAACATCTGCGCACTTGATGCTATAGTGAGAGCCTAGAGTAATCACAGCTGAATCTAAGTCACGATTTTTACGAATTCTATTACCGAGGAACTTTACACCGAGTCTACGCCCTCGCGAGTGACATCATTACACTGATTGCACGATGACGTCATATCGTGTCACTCGGATACAAAATTCACATACTTAAGTGGAATTTATAGCAGCGAACTCCAAGAACATGCGTGTTGCATCACATTCCTTAATAGATATTACCTATGTCGGCATGAAGAAAACGTCATAGTCGTGGCATGTATAGTAATCGAGTAGTCAAGTTTTCCACGAAATGATACATTTACGGATTTATACAGTTTTGATCCCATTAATTTAAAACTTTTCAATCGATATACAAAAAGTTTTTATTCGGAAAGTGATAGTGAAAGAACTACTTTTACATTATTTCATTAATTAATACTATTAACATGGCATTGTATTAAATATTCTACGACTGATGCAAATAGTCACATTGCTAGATATAAAAGTAAGATTTATATAACGATTAAAAAATGTGTATGTATATTTTCAATGCACATTTTTCTGAAAATTCTACTTCTTACTGTATTCTAACAGCGATCGATCTTGACCAAAAGAATATAACAAAGGTATTAACATTCTTTATAATAGTAGAACGGCATGTGGTTAAGTGTGTCCATGTCCTCCACGTGGTCAATCGATATTATTTAATACATAATTACTAACTGCATCACGCCTAGTAGCGTAATCCATTCATAATTGCATAGCAAATGAGCTGCGGTTTATAATTTATACATATAGCTTGATTGTAGAGTATGAAACTATTACATATTTACGGGAATAATGGAGTATGAAAATACGAGTATGTAATTTGGATTCTTTGCAAAGATATTCTCTAAATTCAAATTAGTTCCAATTTCGATTGTTTTTGAATAAGGAATTTTCGGTACTGTTAGTTTCAATACCAACTACTAGAGGCGCTGTAATCTTGTTCCGTTCTCATTCGATAACGTTGAATGTAGCTCTGAAATGATAAGGGTAAGTCCCTGAATTATCAAGAGCACCCAGAGTTTGAAATAGATACTCACAGATGTCGCGCAAAGTTTCTATGGTCGTCGAAGGCGCGAATGTTTATGAACATTGTTTAATTTAATTCGAAGCGTTACATTACATGAATCACTTGAAATTCATGCATGGGCCTCGTCATCTTTACGTGTCTTATATAATTATAACAGTCTACGAAGCAGCAATATAAAATTACAGGTTCTTCGTCCACGTTCTAAAAGTAACGATACACTTTACATTTTACTTTTTTATAGATGGCGGAGTAATTGGTAACGCAATTGAAAAATTGAAAGCATTTGTGGTTTTTGCCTCACAATACTAATTGTCCGTGATATCGATGTCAAGGAAGGGAATTCTTCTAAACCGGGTATTGGGTCCAGTTTACCACGCTCATTCTTCTCTTTACTTTCATGCTTGTTAACCTTTTCTCGAGACTCACTGATGTCGGTATCAGCACTCGAGTCGGAAACTCGCAAATCGTTCGATGCATCGTCGATACTTCCTTGTAGTTTGCTCTAAAAAAGATAAATAAATACATTTAAAAAGGAACCAGTTCGCATGTAAACGTGGAGAAAAATTCTTTTTTTCAATCCATATTCGATCACATCTTTCGACGTACCCAACGCCAGTAGTCGAATAGAATCCAACCCTGTATGAGATAAATAAGCATGCAGAAGATCGACAACAAGCACATGATAAAATTGTGGATAAAAACAGGATGCCTCAACAGCTCTTCATCGGTGACTTCATCGAGATTTACGTGTATATCGATGTGCTTCATTTCCATTATTCCTGCCAATAGCATTAAAAATGCCGCGGTGAAGCAACCAATGAGAACCTGTAGTTGTTCGAAGCATCTAATTTTAATTAGTTAAATCGAAGAGTTTTGGAATCACTATTTATTTAACGAATATATGTTAATATACATCGCTTCATCTTATGCTGAATTAACATGTTAAAAAGTTACTGACGATTATGGGCCTTCTCTCGCATATCTTCGTGACAAGCCACAAAACTGCAAACACGACGCTGAAAACCATACAAATCGGATAGACGTAAAAAATTGGGTTTCTTTCTTCGGGTAACGTGGGAATGGATTCGTCTTCTTTACGAATTTTCTTGATCACGAAATGATGAACGTGGTGAAATATTTCCATGGCCAGACTAATCATCTACAGAAATTTCCTAAAATTATCAAAGAATTTAGAGAAATAAAATTTCTGTCTGATGAAAAGTGTTACAACAGCAACGTGACTGATGCGTGGTCGTTTCGCTTAACGTTCGCGTTGTAAAACGCTCGAGAAACCGGAACAAACGTAATCAAACACCGAAGCACGTCGTTCTCGGTGTAGTCTGAACTGATAAAGAAAACAGAAATTGGCCCCTGACACGCGCGTTTACGCAATACAATTTGATGCATGTCGAGATCTCGTGTCCGATTACATAATAAAACCGACGGAACCCCTTGCAATTCTTAGGTCGTCATTGAATCATCCGGGTATTGTTTCGCTAAATCGTTTCAAGTGACAGTGACGCGTTATACTTTCACGTCGTCTGCGACAAAATGGAATTTGGTGGCGCCATATAAACAGATATTTTTTTCAAAATCTCATATTTCACAGAGTTAATAAAACAACTTTCATGAGATAAGAGATACTATCATCACCCAAAGTTATAATTCAAAAACTACAAGGAAACCTTCATAATCATTATTAACAATTAATGCATAAATCTCAGTTTCATAGATTACAGAGAATTTTATATTTGCTATAAAAGCTGAAATTTATGCATTAATTGTCGATGAAGTTTGTAAGTTCGTTAATTGGGTCACTGTAATCGCGATGATACCAACCAGTGTCTCCAATTTGCTTCCTGCTGAATACTACAAACACAGATCTAAATAATTAGCGACACGCGACTAGGGAAATTTGATCGGTTACAACGTTAATCAGCGAGAAAAAGGAAGGACCTGAGTCGTCAGAAAATATTTGTGTTATTGGGAGAAACGCGACCGCGTTTCATAAATATTTACGCATTCCTCGGTCATGTAGTTTTATTCGAGTTTTCGCGACACTCTTTTCTAACACGAAATTTCTTTGAAGAAATGAAAACGGCGTTAATGCAAATAAATCTAAATGGCATAATTACTTTCAATCAAAAGAATTGACAGAATTAAGGTAACATTAAATAACCTTCAAATAAAAAAATATGGCACCGTGTAAATTAAATACAAGTTTTTTGAATTGAAATATAAATATTCCTTTTATAAAAGTTTTATATCATATTAATGAAAGAAGAACATAATTCATATTAACAATTTCGTTATCACTGTGTAATTACTTACGAACTGAAAAATATGCAAGCCAGCATGAACAACATGAGAAAGATTCGGGTTCCTCTGGAATTTTTCTTTACCAGTATGATAAATACTAGCAATTTTTGCCTTCTCGCGGAGTTTCTTCAACTCGAAATCATTGTCATCTTCGTTTTCTCTATTCTCGTACGGCTCTTCAGAGGCCATTGAACCTCCGTTTTAAGGATTAAATAAATTACTAAAACGTGAAGTCGTACACGTTTCAAAATTCTGAGCAATCGCACAGAGAAAGTGTCGATAATTTGCTACATTCGTTTGATCCTTCAACATTACAAACATCACTTGTAGACTGTTGTGGTCCAAAAAAAATTGTACGTAGTTTAACATGTGTATTTCGCACTGTGTCCCCAAGTAAACAATCCTAGGCATTCTGGACCACTTCCCTCGACATTTATCTTTCCTACAAGTTTCTAATGGCTTTTGGGGTCCTTCATTCGTATCTCCTGCACTCAAGGAACAACGTTTCTCACTTCGTTTTAACTATAGATTACCCTTTGCACACGATATGGTAATAATTACAAACAAAAGCAACACTTTCTCCAATTTTCGTCTTTTTTCGGGCAATGTGGCGTCGGAGGAAAAACGAACGACTTGGTTCGCGTTTCTGTGCCGGACATTGCGCAAGGCACGCACTCGAATGGATTGATGCCTATTACGAGGCGGCATAAGGCGTTCGCTTTCATTAAGGAAAGTGTTTCTGCTTCGAAGAAGGCCCATAAAGGGCCGTTGGTCGTCGCACTTCGCTTTTCGTTGTCGCTCTCGTTCGTCCGTTAATCGTCTCGACGCTTTCGAAATATACACATTTAGCATTGCCACCGCTGAACAAATTTCTAAAAGATGATTCAAGCCTCTGGGAATCCGTGATCGTAATGGCGATCCAATTACGAACATAACGAAAAGGAAAGTGTGGGAAGAACTGTGAATAATCGAGCGTTACAAATTTTTGGACAGAGAAGAGTT